GATGAAGCACTAAAATCACACATAGAACCAACTGCAAACACGCTCCACGTTCTATTCAGGAAGGTTTGGGAGGAAGAACAAGTGCCGATAGACTGGGAAGAAGGACACCTCATCAAAATACTAGAGAAAAAAGATCTGAGCAAGTGTGAGAACTACAGAGGCACCACACTACTATCGGTACCAGGAAAGGTTTTCAACAAAGTGTTGCTGAGCCGGATGGAAGATGCAGTAGACGACCGAATTCCAGATCAACAGGTCGGATTCCGTAAGAATCGGTTGTGCACAGACCAAATAGCGACACTACGGAGCATTGTCGAACAGTTAATTGAATGGAACTCGTCACTATGCACCAACTTCCTCCATTATGAGAAAGTATTTGACAGTATGGATAGGAGAATATTATAGAAACTTATTCGAGATTGATCACCGCCCAGTGATCAATCAACTGTAATACATCTCAGTCCTACAGGACATCAGTCGCGGCCCGGATAGCTCAGTAGTAACGTCTCTGACTGTGAAGCTGTGTGACATGCGATCGAGTCCGTCAGGACGCATTAGTTCCCCCAAGATTAAAGGTACACCTTGCTGACGAGTGCCAAGTAGCACGAAACTAAGGTCCAGGGTTTCCTGTGACTACCTCCAACCACCATCTTAACAAACCAGCTCCCAACTGAAGAGGAAATTAACAAAAGACTCTGCAGGTGGATAGGAAATACATTGCAAAATTCATCAAACTGCATCACAAGGCAAGCGCCAACTTGGAATACTGAAAAGAAAAGGAAGATAGGAAGACTAAAGAACACACTGTGCTGGCAATGTGAAGCACACCTCGAGAGAACGAATAGGAATTAGTAACAGCTGGAAAGGATTGCCCAGGACAGAGTTCGATGAACAATTCTAACGGACGGTCTGTGCTGTTCCACGAGGGCTAACAGGTGTAGGTAATAATCTATAAGTGCAGTTAAATAACTCTGATGAATCGTATGACTATACACTACGTGGATTCGTGCTACCCAAAGCAAGAAACTATAAAGACTTAGGAGTTATATTAAGCAATGATCTCAAAACGACTAGTCACTGTAAGGCTGCTGCTGCAAAAGGCTATAGGGTATTATGGTCAATTCGTAGGTCTTTTCAGTATTTAGATGATGAAATGTTTGGATTGCTATACCCGATTTATGTGCGACCACATTTAGAATACGGGATTCAAGCAGCGAGTCCTTGTTTCAAATATGAAGCAGATATGCTAGAAAGAGTCCAACGACGAGCTACTAAGATGGTACAAGGTCTAGCTGGCCTATCTTATGAAGACAGACTGAGACACCTTAACTTATTTCCGTCATCTTACCGTAGAGTACGGGGTGATCTTGTAGCGGTAAATAAATCCCCAAAATAAATAGCACTAAGTTTTCGACATTGGATGCTGACCATATGTTTTAGTGGACTCACCTAGCTGAAGGCGCTCGGTCAGTCATCCGCACCAGATCACGTGTGGTAACGCCGTGCTCAACATCAACCGCAATCGCTAGCCAGATTAGATCAGAGAATTCCGATATATTGGTCATCGCCAAATATACTCTTCCGATCTCCTCGACTCTGTCTTTTGATTTCTCTGGGCGGGAACGAAATATATTAGAAGGTGTTACTGGTAGAAGCGTTGTCAAACACTGAATACCTGTGACATCATCATTGGTGAGCCCGACGTGATCTGGTACACCTAATTGCAACTGTGAGTCTGTTCCTTTTTGGGATTTTTATATATCATTGCCTTATTTTTTTATTTTTTTAAAACATTGTGAATTTTTTTTCGTGTTTTTTCCTGGATATATATATTTTCCCCTCGTTCATTATCGTACTTCATACTTCATCATGACTGAACAGACACCTAAAGTACTCAAGCTTAAGACTTTGTCCCCGCCTTCGTTTCAACTGATGCCTTTCTGGCCCGACAACATCGAAGCCTGGTTTTGCTACGCTGAAGCCGACTTCTCCGAGCACGGCGTGATCGACACACGTGCACAATTCCTCGCAGTAGTCAAGGCACTACCCAAATGCGCATTACTTATGAAACCTCTGACCGACCAACTTCGTGGAAATGCGAAATCCATTAATTTGGACGACACCGCACGAAAAGCATTCTCCACAGTTAAGGAACTGATTGCTAAAGCAACGATGCTCGCACATCAGGACACCCGAGCACCCATTAGCATCGCAGTAGACGCATCCGACTCAGCAATCGGAGGAGTCTTACAACAATGGGTTAACAACTCCTGGCAACCCTTGGCCTTTTTCTCTAGAAGGTTGCTAGACACCGAATCGAGGTACAGCACATTCGGTAGGGAACTCCTAGCTATGTATTGTGCTGTACGGCATTTCCAACACTACATCGAAGGTCGTGAATTCACTCTTTTCACGGACCATAAACCGCTCACTTTCTCGTTAAGCTCTCCTTCTGACAAGTACTCTCCCCGTGAGTCTCGACAACTGGACTACATTTCGCAGTTTACTTCAGATATTCAACACGTCTCTGGAGCAAACAATGTAGTTGCAGACGCTTTATCTCGTATAACTTCCTTGAACAGTTTCCAAGGAATCGACCTTCTTAAACTCGCCGAGCTTCAAAAAGAAGACAGTGATCTTCAGCACGAGTTATCGTCCACAACACTTAAACTACGCATCAAACAGATGGGAACAGGTAAGGAAACCTTACTATGTGACACATCTACAGGTAGGGATCGCCCAATCGTGCCGAAACATTATCGACGCAATGTCTTCAACACATTGCACAAACTTTCGCATCCAGGTGTTCGTGCAACCATCAAGCTTATAGCAGAAAGGTTTTGCTGGCCTGGAATGAATAAAGACGTGAGGGAGTGGGCACGCTCCTGTGTAAGCTGCCAAAAATCTAAGGTTATCAGACACAATAAATGTCCCTTAGGCTCGTTTAAAACTCCCGATGCTCGTTTCGACCATGTTCATCTGGATTTGGTAGGACCTTTACCAGATTCAAATGGATACTCTTATCTCTTAACCTGCGTAGACCGTTTCACTCGATGGCCAGAAGCAGTACCTATCAAGGACATCACTGCTGAAACAGTGGCCCGCACTTTCGTCGAACGATGGGTAGCAAACTTCGGCTGCCCTTCAACCATCACTACAGACCGCGGACGTCAGTTTGAATCCGATTTTTTCCGTCGTCTGACCACACTTTTAGGAATCACTCGCTTCAGAACGACCGCCTACCATCCACAAGCAAACGGGTTGGTAGAACGTTTTCACCGACAACTGAAAGCTTCGCTATCAGCTGCAAACGTTTCACAGTGGACCGACGCTCTTCCACTCGTCTTACTAGGTATCCGCAATGCAGTGAAAGCTGACATTGGATACACTGCGTCTCAACTCGTTTATGGTACGACACTTCGACTTCCAGGAGAATTCGTGGATCCTTCATCCTCTTCAATGAACATGGATCTAACCTCCTACACGAACAGGCTTACAAACGCAATGCGTTCAGTTAAACCTGCTTCCACCCGACCTCAATCAACTGATGTTTTCGTTCAACCTGACTTACGATATAGTACACACGTTTTCGTTCGTCGAGACTCGCATCGACGACCCTTCGAATCAGCATACGAAGGACCCTTCAAAGTTCTTCAACGTGAATCTAAGTACTATATAGTCGATAAGAACGGAACCAACGATAGCATCAGTATCGATCGCTTAAAAGCAGCGTATTTAGAAGGAAATCCTATCTACGTGGATTTTCCTTCGGTACAATCGAACGACACGACTCCGACACTTATAATACCTCATCCGACAACCAACACACACGATGATACTTCGACAGTATCCGAAAATAAACTTAAAACGACGCGTTCTGGAAGAAGGGTGAGATTTCCAGAACATCTAAACGACTATTGCACGTAAGGCACTTCTCGACATTTTATATTATTTTTTTAAAAAAAAAACAATTTTAATATGCTTATATATTTTTATTTGTATTTAAAAAAAAAACAAACAAAAAAAACAATTTTTTTAACGCTATTACGTGTTCATGAGTTTATTTTCCATTTTTTTTTCCGCCGACATTGTGCTTTTACGCACATACGAGTGTATTTCGACATGCACTTACATTTTCTTTTTTCTTTTCCAGGACGGCTGGAAAAGAACGATGACGTTTATGAGGATCCGAAATTTTCCATGTACATTTTCTTTTTTTACTATGTTGTACCTCCGTCTCATATAGTAAGGAAAGACGACCAGACGCTGCTAAATTTAGTAAGCTATCAGAAGAGTGTTTACCAACGACAAACTCGTTGGGTTTAAACTTCTGGCTGGCCACGTCTTAGGGTCGTCACTGCCCCACTAGGGGGGGGGAGTGATCTGTAGCGGTAAATAAATCCCCAAAATAAATAGCACTAAGTTTTCGACATTGGATGCTGACCATATGTTTTAGTGGACTCACCTAGCTGAAGGCGCTCGGTCAGTCATCCGCACCAGATCACGTGTGGTAACGCCGTGCTCAACATCAACCGCAATCGCTAGCCAGATTAGATCAGAGAATTCCGATATATTGGTCATCGCCAAATATACTCTTCCGATCTCCTCGACTCTGTCTTTTGATTTCTCTGGGCGGGAACGAAATATATTAGAAGGTGTTACTGGTAGAAGCGTTGTCAAACACTGAATACCTGTGACATCATCAATCTAATATTGGCTTATCGTATACTGAACGATGACCTTGGTATTAACATGTCTTATCTTTTGCTTCCGTCTAGAACCGATCATTTGAGAGGACATTCGAAGAAAGTTCAAAAACCGAGATCAAACTGTTTACGTCTGGAGTCCCGTTTCTCGCACCGAGTAGTGAATTACTGGAATTCCCTACCGGAACACGTAATATCAGCGCCGTCTGTTAATATATTCAAACAGAGATTGGACCTCCACAGTATTACAAACTGCAAGGATTAATATAGGTCGACAGACCTCCTATCCTTATTACTGAAGACTGAAGACTGAAGGTTCTTAGAGGTTAATTCAACTGATTGCGGTGTAAAGCATTCGAAGGTCGAAGTGGTCAGTAATAGTTATATCATTTTCTTGTTCTTTTTATCAGACTGTTTCAATTTCATGACTTCATGATTGCTAGCTGCTTTTAATTGCTTACTTTACGGAGATTTATTGCGTTTTTGTGAGCTTGTTTTGTCGACTTACTTTTCCCTCATCAGCTCCTCTTGCACACGCTTTACTTGTACCCAAAGTAGCTTCAAGCTAGGCAAAAACCACCACAAACGTGTATCAAAAACAGTGGCTATATCTTTTCACTTCAAACAATTTGAATACATGTGCCTAGGACTACTAATTCTGATCCAGTTCTAAAATATAGAACCCCTTAACTATAATTAATCCAAGCAATATTTCCAAGTTCTTCATGAAAAATCTTGCTACTTCCTGAATTAAATAATATTTCATTTCCAAACACTTAACTTCCTGTCACATTTGTTTTTGAATAGTTACATCCCACATAGAAACCAGAGTTGTTACTAGCTAGGTACTATTGTTTACATATGGGTTTCAGTGGTTGCAACCGTTTAAGTGTATGTTAACGTCTAACACTGTCAAACACAAGCATTTGACCAACTCTGACGATTAATATTGGAGAAATTTAGCGGGAATATGCGTACAGTGCCTTGAATTTTCGTGGAACATTAAAAGCGTTCATTTCGTTTGTTCTGAGAAAAGATCATTCTCATTTCAAGATATCTGATAAATTTCCCCATCAAGCTGAATGTTTTATTGAAATATTGACACCTCCAAACTTTCTCACAAATGAAACAACTTCCTCAGTGATATTCGTTTCCTCTAGTGATTTGTAATATTGTCTACACTTTGAAAACAATTTCATTTTATGAACTGTATTAGCTTACCATTCATTTCAGATGCCTTTCCTCCTAACGAAGTAGATATTTCTTTGTTGGCGGATTCTTTCAGACGTCGGATAGAAAAGTACATAATGTCTTGTAGGAAATTTGTTCTCGGTGAACAATAGAGCTTATAGATAGTGCAGATTTTTGCTACAGTACTGTCCGGTGTTAATATTTACTCTGTCTATAGCAAGTAATATGGCTGATCATTTCGATCTCTTGTAAAAGTATTCACAGACCTTATGACAAACAAAACCTGCATCATATTTTGCGTAGGCAGGATATCTATGTGAAATATGATCTGATACTTAGGATATTCACAGGTTACTAATATTCGACCTTACATTTCTTCATGTATAGTGACTTTTCGTATTAATTGGTGTTGAAGTTAAACCTAATATCCTAGGTAAGTATAGAAATTCGGTGAGTTAAGCTAACGTGGCTGGGACGCGTTACATTTCCTCAGCCACTGTCTACCTCAATCGGCAATGCTAGATACCATGTGATTGTAATGAGATGTTAAAGGATCTCAAACCAAGGTGTGGCATTTGTCAATATCCAGACCTTATGTTGAAAACGACTGACTGACTTCATGATTTTCATTACTGATGGATTAGTTGACTGCTCATTCACGCAGTCATCAATGGTCGTTACCATTATAGGTTCTATGACTTAGATATTATGGTAAGTTTAGTGTCGCCTGCTTTCAGTATATCGCTCTCCTCACGATGGCGTACCTTATCCAAGAGTTGGACGTGTTGAATTGGCACACGGTATCCAAATATATTTTTCGCATATGTTAAATTTCCTAAAAATCCTTGCTAAACATGTAAACACAACGATTACGATTGTTTAAGTGACAATCGTTAAGTGAAATAACTTTCTTTAAACAAAGTTACATAATCGCTTATGTGTATTGCTTTTTACTGTTACTTGAAATTGTAACTAGTGTATTGTAGCATTTGTGTGTAAACACTTGAAATCAGTATTCTTTTCACCATAATCTCATTAAAAACATTGGTCTTAATTAGCTAAATCTTATCTTACATCTACAGGTTTCGTTTGTCTTTTGACAGTATCATAATGAATCGTGGTTTAACTGATGCCACTATAAAGTAATTTTTTGCTAAACTAGATAATTCTTAGGAATCATTTACAAGCAAAAGATTTAGTTGTATGTAATGAAATTTCTACATCGTTAGATGAATTTAAGTAGGTTTAATCTTTCTCCAAGATCATCTTTAGAAAATTCCTCACTCAACAAAAAAAATATCGTGAAGAGTTGGCTGGCTTGTCTTATTGTGAATTAATCACCTTACGTGATGATCTCAAAACTGTTAGTCAACAAGTGTCTTCTTCAATATCCAGCCTCCGACATACGTCTACAGCGATTTCACGCTTAAAAACAGATGTATTAAAGGTGAGACAGTGTTCGCAATTTTTTCGAATAACGTTTTTATACAAGGAAGAGAAAAATGCTGGCATAGCCCATAAAACATCTGAACATGGACTGAGTATTAAAAATGATAATAATGAACTGACAAGGTATACAATTATAAACAAATTATTCTAGATCTAGTTATTTTATGAAAAAGATCTCTGAATTTGATACAAGAATCCGATTGTATAAACATGAGTTAGAGGTATTTGAAGAGAATGTTTATTCTCAGCCATTGACTCCTATGACTCCACGAGGTAACTATTTTCTTGATATAAGTACATTTTTATATTACAGACCTTCTTAATATTCTGCATCTAATCGATCATGATTTTATCAATCTTGCTGCTCAGTTGTACACTACACATGAAAACATAAAGGTATGTTTGCAGTGTTTATTCTTGTTAGAGCAGTGCATTGTGTTATTCACATAACTATTTACAGATTTGTTCTTTATCTCTGAAGGTGACTGCTAAGTTATTTGCTAGTCTGGGGTTTGTTGATAAGTGTAGAAATCTTAACTAAAATCTACAAAATTATAGTTATTTGTGGTTGAAGCCAAGTGATATAAAGCACTGGTTTATTAATCGATATGTTTAGCCTTCAGCCTGTTCGCCTTAGGTTTTAAATCCGCCTCATTTAGCTTGGTTTAGGTAGCAAAGTAATGTCGCTACGCTTTACGCAAATAGTTCAATGCCAAATATACAAGTATATACATATATTTGCGAAAATTATGGTTGTTAGTTTTACCACGTTTTAATGTTTGTTTTTCTCATTTCTGTGTAGGCAATAAAATCAAACTACTTAAAAAAGTATCGTATGTGTTATGGTTCAGCTCGCAATCCATTCGGCGATAATGATGACTTTCATTTCAAGAGTCAAATAGAAGTTGATAATTTATTTGGAACAGGATTAAGTAAGGGAAAAATCGGTTCATCATTCTCCACTCCATATGGTCCTTCTCCATTCCCAACATCAGAAACACCTACTACATCCAATTCAATCGGTAGTGTTGAGAAAACTTCAATTATTCCATCGGCACCTTCTACTACAACCTCAAGCAGTGTATTGTCGAATCAGCAGTTTGGTATAGCTTCATCTTTCCAGCCTGGTATGTTCACGTACAGTAATTAATATTTCCTAATAATCGACACTCGTAATAATGACCAGTGTAGATTTTAAAAGATCTAATTTACCTAACTGTATATAGTCTCAGGTTGACCGAACACTGAAACTACCATATAACGATAAGTGTTTGTCAACAGGATTCTTATGATAGACGAAACTAGTTAGATCTAACTATGGACAAAATATCAATAACAAAGCTAGGTCAAGTGGTTCAGGATTAGCAAAGAATCACTCATTCTCAAAACGGATAATTTGAGGGTAGGTACGGTTCACCCCTATGGTTTTAGACTACTCGGCAACGAACAGTGACATGGAATTATCGGACAGATGCATAAGTATTAGTAACATCAGTGACAAAAAAGTAGGCATCAACGATATGATTCGACATGGAATAGATTCCTAGAAGACAAAATAATTTTGGAGCTCGGGAAGGTGAAGTGGATGCTTCTGCATCATTATGACGAATCATGAATTGTGTTACCCAACGTCTCCAACTGTCAGTCACAGCAACTGCCGCAACTAGATAACCTGGATTCGCACAAAGCAAAAACTTCCCTTTATGTCAACACAATCGTGTTTATAAATTAAGATGTCGATTGTGGTGCCTTCTATGTTGAAGAGTCATCTATCTTGTGGAATCTCGACTCGAGCCAAAGAAGATCTAAGGAACTTAAAGAAACCGCCTAATAATCCCGTACAACTAAAAAGACTTCCAATTAAATCGGCAACAGCAATTCGTGCCATTTTTAATAACCATCAAGTCGATATCAAAGACACCAAAATAATACAAAAAGGCTTTTCCAGCTAAAAAGAAAGACGAGTAGCCGAAACTCCATATATTGTTTAATTCTACTGCCCTCAATAGAAAACAAGGCCTCACTATCCATCCGACTTGGACCATTTATCCGAGCTACCTTATCTAATTCTATCCACATCTCACACCATTATTATACGCACAAATTCAACTCCACTCGTTCGCACCACAATTATCTCATTTTTCATCCTTTAACATACGTACACACGCACAAAAGTCCAAAAACACTTCATATAAATCACCTTGACTGGAATTAGATTGACCTGGTCAGACCTGTTTTTGATTGATCGCACCAAACATTCCTACTTTGTTCCTTTGAACTATTTAAACTTGGGTTAATTTAGTTTATTTCTTTATTCTCTGAAGAAGTGGCTCACACCAAGTCACAAAATTAGAGTTTTCTACTCATTGGGATATTACAAATATATAATTTTTATTAATAACAATCTATCCAATGTTCAATTTATTTGAAATTATCAAGTCAAACCTTAGTAATGGCACCTATCGCAACATAATCGTTTGACATCAACTTACAGTCAGATATTCTTAAATACACCAATACCTAATCGTATCCAGGTTTACTCAAAACATGATTTCTATCTAGAGCAAAATGCTTATCATAAAATTTACTCTGAAGTCTTAAAAACTGTTAACTCAATTCTTTCTATCTAGAGAATGATCTTTGTAATTGTTCTGTGTCTGATAAACTTCTTGTTCTCCATTTTTCAGCATCCTCCGTACTTTCACAAATAGGTTCATTGACTGGTGGAGCTCCTGCTTTGAATTCAACTGTTACAACAGGTTTAGTCAAACCAGCATTCGGATTTCAATCACCACTAACTACTTCAACAACAAGTTCTGTTGGTAAAATTGGACTATAACTTCTAGTGTGAAAGAATTGGTTCCTTTTCTAGGATTTTGAATCAAAAGTACATGCCAGAAATTTTTATCTATTTTAACGTGTTTAGTAATGTATATTCCGACAGACTTGTGTAATAAGTGTATATACATTTTTCGTATCACTAATGTTCATTTATCTAAATGACTACTTATTTTTGTGCATTCGTTAGAAGGAACTGGGGTAGTAAAAATAATAGAAGAATTCAAGATACTAAACCTTTGTGAGTGTCGATTAATTCATACGATCCAAATGTAGTGTTTTGCATCCCGTAACTAATAAGCAACTAGAAGCTATTAGTTTATGTTATATTGCATTGAGACTCGAAATTTAGTATATATAGTTCGTACTTAATAAATGAGTAGTTATACACTATACTATGTCGCAATTACCATCGCTTAACAATAAACGATATGAAAAGAATTGAACTATTAAAAAATTATAATAACCATGTACTACAAATAAAAGCAATCTATTTTTTTATATATAGACAATTAATGTACAACAGGATTAAGAGGTTCAGCACGCAGTTGTGAAAAATCAATTCGCCTGTCTAGATCTTCATCAAGTTCTCCGACTACAGCCCTGAAAAATAGCATAGTACAAATAAATCTTGCATTATATCAAGTTTCAATCTCAGAAATAGCAATTTTGTAACTAACGATGGCTTTATATCACATTGAACTTACACATTCTGTCCTCGAATAATAAATAAACCCAATGGAACTTGCTCAACACCTTCAGTTGGACTGAAAACTCTTTCATGACTATCTTTGATAACAAGATTGACGACATTATCAAATCCTTTTAATGTACCCTAGTAAATGAATAATTTTACTAAGATTAGCCAGAATGACAAGGACGGTAAACAAAATAATACATCATCATTCATATAGAAATTCATGTATTATGTTATAACCCGTATATCGTTAATGAATAATAAAAAGCTTTATTAGATTCACCAGGAAAATGTAGACGAGGTTATATAAACGAAAAACTCCGCCTGTAGCTCTTATAGGGTTGCTGCCGGTCCCAAGCCCGGGTAAAGGAGGAGGGTTGGGCATGGGGTTAGCGTCCCCATCCGTAGAAAACTAACTCGCTAAAAAAACGCTTACCAGAAAAAACGCTTATATAAACGAAAAGATCATCATAGCTTGTCGGAATATTTATACAAGAATATATATAAATACTAGATATTGATTGACGGGAGAATTTGATGAAGAAAGTGTACAAATTACTGATTCCGAAAAGAGATGAATCAGTCGATATTAAAAGGGGGGTAGGTTTAACGACTAAGTATCACAGAAGATTCGGTTAGTTGTTATCAACGGAAAAGATGACATTAACTCTAAATTCGAGGGAGTGTATAAAGCTCACACACTACAAACATGCTTTATATGAGTAATTTTAATCTCTCTGATCTTTGTATTTCATTGATAAAACTAAATATTAGTAGATGAACTGTCCTCTAGTTTATTGATTCATACTCAGTCTACCCTGGTATATTAAACAGGCTTTTGTGTTTGTCTAAGCTACTAATTAACTGTTGTTGTGGTTGAGCTCGATAACTTGTATGTTATTTTAGCATAAACTAATTATTTATTGTAGGACCATCTAGTATTTATAAATATATTCTTGTATAAATATTCGAAGAAGCTATGTTAGTCCTTTTATTTATACAACCACCGTTATATCATCTTTGTAAATCTAACAAATTCTTAATAGATTGAAATCATGAGTCAGTTGAAGCTAGACCACCATTGAAAACCTGGAAGCACTGGACGGCCGTTTCGTCCTAGTATGGGACTCCTCAGCAGTGCGCATCCACGATCCCGCACCACGCGGGGCTCGAACCCAGGACCTACTGGCTTCGTCCCATACTAGGACGAAACGGCCGTCCAGTGCTTCCAGGTTTTCAATGGTGGTCTAGCTTCAACTGACTCATGATTTCAATCTGTGAAAATTTCTAAAACTCTCCACAAAACCCATTCTGATAATAATCAACTGCTCATTAGTGACTGACTTCAAGAAAAACTCCTGGAGTTCTAGTGAGAAGCCGTTACCAGTGGAGTTCAACCGGTCTGTTGTGAGATAACAACTCACTGAAGACAATGGTGTACGGTGGCGCAACTTCGTGGATTGGTTGAAGTTAGACATTAACACCGTTGGATGCCGGCCGGCTCAGTGGTCTAGTTGGTTAAGCGCCTGGCGCGAGACTAATAGGTCCTGGGTTCGAGCCCCGCGTGGTGCGGGATCGTGGATGCGCACTGCTGAGGAGTCCCATACTAGGACGAAACGGCCGTCCAGTGCTTCCAGGTTTTCAATGGTGGTCTAGCGTCAACTGACTCATGATTTCAATCTGTGAAATTTCTAAAATCTCCACAAAACCCATTCTGAAAATGCTGAGTAGTTGAAATTGATTTTGTAATTATTTAAATGACACGTATATTGCAAGTTGTTGTCTTTCTATCGCAATGAATTATTATTTCATTCACTCATAATCTAATCTTGATTATTCTACCTGTAAAAGAATATTTCCTTCCTCATCCATTTATTACCGCTTTGCTTTTGATCGTACATTTTCTCTTGTGTATACTAACACTTTCACGTTTGATTATTAATTTTTTTTGGAACAATTTACTTAAATTGTTTCCATTAATTACTAGTATTCTAGCTCAGTATAACTATGCTACTACTTGTTCAATTTTTGTTTGTTTTATTCGGAATTAGCACTTCTTTTGACTGTTTTTTTCTATGGCAAACGTGACTCAACTAAACTGAATATCTGGAAGCACTGGGAGGCCGTTTCGCCCTATTGTGGGACTCCTCAGCAGTGTGCATCCACGACCTCGCCCCCCTGCTAGACTCGAACCCAGGGCCTACTGGTTTCGCGCGCGAGCACTTAACCACTGGACCACTGATCCGGCATCCAATGAGGCGAGGTCGTGGATGCGCACTACTGAGGAGTCCCACGATAGGACGAAACGGCCGTCCAGGTTTTCCATGGTGGTCTAGCTTCAACTGACTCATGATCTTAACCATTGAAATTACTATAATATCCACAAAACCCATCTGATATTAATCAACATATGCTCACTAGTGACTGACTTCAAAAGCTATTTCCTGGAGTTCTAGTGAGAAGTAGTGACCAGTAGAGTTCAGCCAGGTCTGTTGTGAGATAGTAACTCACTGAAGACAATGGTGGATGTATCGCTCAATCTCGTGGATTAGTTGAAGTTGGACATTAAAACCGTTGGATGCAGGCTCAGTGGTCTAGTGGTTAAGTGCTTGCGCGCGAAACCAGTAGGTCCTGGATTCGAATGTCTCAGGGGGGCGAGGTCGTGGATACGCAGTACTGAGGAGTTCCACAATAGGACGAAACGGTCGTCCAGGTTTTCCATGGTGGTCTAGCTTCAACTGAATCATGATCTTAACCATTTAAATTGAACACATAAATACATGCAATTTAAAATACTCCACTTACCACAATAGTTCTTCCATCTGATGTTATAACATTTACCATTCCTGGTACATATAAAGAAAATAGTTAAAGAAAGTAGAATTTCTTAGATGATAAATATGCAATATTAATATTCTGTTTACTGATCCACTATAATTGATTGCATGTACATTCTACGAACATAGAGTATACATGCAATATTTGCTGAATACGTTTAAAGTCATTGTAACGAAAGTAAGCGAAATTCGAAAATAACTTGAATGAAAGAAAAAACTAATATGCATAAATTACAAGATTTAGTGTACAGAAGGTAACTTTTATTGGCCATACAGTAGTTTTCGGCTGGAATTTTGAATTATCTAATCTGTTAAGAATTAACAGCTATGTTAAAACTATGAGCTGAGTTGAATGGTGGTTAGCAGCAAAATTCAGGACGCGGATTTCTTATGTGGGACGTATCAGCTGGATATATCTGCATCCTAGAGTTGATGCTTACTTTAATCCTCAAATCCAGTACCGTTCACTTTGAACGTCAATAGGCTACTGAATGCAGATAGCCACTGGCTTGTGTAACTGATCCTGTTGCATTCTTTCATTTACCTAATTAAATGGATGTAGTAAGGTCCTTAAATGAAAAGCTAATGGATTTTGGAGTTATCAGATAGTTGGAAAAAAACAACGTAGGGAAACCAACGTAGAACTGTACTTGTCTAATATGTTCATACTATTTCACATCAATATAGTGAAATTATATTCGCAAAGAGAAGGCAAATAAGATCAAATGGATGGAAAGGATGAAATAATATGATTCAAGAAAATAAAAATATATAGCTAAATGATGTAGAAAGAAACCACTATCACTACGTCCTCCTCCTCCCACAAATACTGTGGTTGATTTCGAACCAATAAACACCAAATTTTTAACCGACAAGAAAAAGGATACGACCAACATATGCTTCTAACTCAGACGCCATAAATCAATACCTAAAAAATGCAATAAATCAAAATTATGAAATGACTGAGAATTTCAACAAAAATACATCAAGAAAAGTAAATAACAATAAAATATATTTAGCTTCCTCTGAAATGTGAAGGTCTTCATAGATGGATCCTCCAAATCCACCAATCCGGTTAAAGTGCCCGACATTCGAGCTCCGCCATCCCATTCTCATTATCAGCAAGCCTGGTGTAAGAAGGCAGTGAGTAGAAGTGAGGGTTGACTCTCCCGACCCTCGACTGGACCAAGGAATTTGGAGCCCTAGTCCATGTTGTCGCATGATATCTTCATATCCGGTGTTGTCCATTCCGACTTTGGCGTTTAGATCTCCCATCAGGATAGTCAGATCGTTTCCTGAGCACTTCGCTATGATCGATTGCAGCCTCTCGTAGAACTGATCTTTATTATCGTCATTGCTATCATTGGTGGGTGTATAACACTGGATAAGATTCATTGTGATTCCATCCTTTCTTGTTTTGAAAGATGCTTTGATAATCCTGGATGCATCAGATTCCCTTCTTATAAGTGCTTCACGTGATTCTATGGACAGCATCAGAGCAACCGAATGTGTGAAGCATTTTCTCCTTCGTGACTCTCACGAATCTAACCTTTTATGTCCAGTTTAACTCCAATGGGTTTTGCTGATTCCGAGAACAGATAAGTTGTATCCCCTCATTTCCGGGACATAAGCCCCGTGAATTTCGAAAATCTCACCTTTCACCAATTGCCTTCATAACTCTTCTAAATGAAAATACTTCAAATCCTAGAGCAGGTTTTTAAAGCTATAAATTGTTTTTCCTGGTAAGCGCTTGTTTAGTAAGATTGTTTTTGCGAGATGGTGCTGCTGACCCAACCCTTCAAGCTCATGTGGCCTTGGAATAAGTAGTATCCGTAGAATGGTTATGGACGGATCATAATAGTAACTATAACAAAAGTCACATATATATGAAATCACAAATTAATTAAATAAAATGCTGGTCCGTGAGAATGGGAGATATTTTATTGGATAAAATACCTTTCTATTATCGATAACCATGACTAAATCATAATTTATGGCAAATTCTAGAATTGATTTGTAAATACTTCTTTTCATCTATTAATTTTTGTTGAAGGTATCAACATTCATAAGTTAGTGATCGATTTGACTGTTAAATCACGAACACTAAAAGCAAAGATGCAAGGTCTCTAGCAGTACAAAACAAGATGCGCATTTTGTTATCTTAAGGAACTCATCAGGTGACAGTAAATAGATCCTAAAGCTGATGTTCACTACAGAACTGGAATCCAGTGTCGTACGCTTCAAACACCACCGCATTATACACTTAGTTGGTGAGTCCAGATAGTCACTAGCTTGTACGATTGAGTTCAAGATTCAAACATCTGATACAAAATTAACTAAAATTTACCACATTGCACAAGTCAGTGGCAATCTGGACTAACTAGCTACGTGGATAAAGCGAAGGAGTTTGAAACGGCACTAGCTTTCAATCCCGTAGTGAACATCAACGCTGGGATGCACGTACATCCAGCTGACGAGTCCCGAACAGAACGAAACGCGCGTCCTGGATTCCACTGCTAGCCACCATAGATCTCTGCTTGTAATATACACCTTGGGTGAAAAAAGTTGATCAAAACTCATAAGAATGACTAAATACTCAAGTCATGTAGAAACAAAAGAGACAGGACAGAGAGTGTATTCAGATAGATTAGCGATCAAGGGTTAGTAGCAAGCTAATACATGACTCATTTAAGCCATAGTAATTAATATTAGGCCATATCACAGAAAATCATTTTTCAAATGACAAGATTAACTGGCCTAATTAATACGCCCGTGGTTTAGTAGTGGTTAACACTAAGATTTCAACCAACCTGTTGCAAGCTTGACACCTATTTCTGTTCGGACAACCGACCACTCTCATTCCAACATTCACATAAAACTTAAAATTCAGCAAACCTGTACCTCACAACCGAATTACTTTTATACACATGCTTGGACGAATAATTGGTCTCAGTAACATTCTAATCACTCCATACAATTATAAATTCATATTCCAAATCTACAACACCGACTCAGTTAAGTCAACACTTGTATGCATACACCTGAAACTAGATATCGTAAAACAATAAAACCATGGATCTATTACTGTAGGATCAAACGAGAAATTCACCGTAAACTAATCATTCGCTCTAAATACTCTTCCTTTTTAAAACACAAGATAGTAAATGCACAGTAAACACACAGTTCAACTGCTCTGTCAGTAGGTCATAAACAACCAAATAGGATAACTCATAAATCTCCATTGATCCATGTTGTCATACCTCGCATCAACACACTTGAAAGAAGAAATTCTCAATATCATAAAAATAATGTCAACAAACATTCTCAAAATAGTCAGCAACAATCATATAAACATGTAGATAAAAACATATCAAAACAAGTACAGTTTACTTTCAAAACAATTGTATCTACAAATACAGATTATTATGCACAACAATTCCAGCAAATAGTTACATTGCTTCCCCATATATCTAAATATATACAATATATATGCATAAATACATTAACAAGGTTTCGCCACAGGACTTTCACGCAGCCAAGATTTATAGATCTTATAAAATCTATAAAATGAACGAACAGCATTTGGATAGACATGAAATCCACCAGTTTTTGATTCGTGAACAGGTGAACCATCTACCATAATAAAGAAAAAATAAGGTAGAAATCACTATTAGTATGGATGCTTTTGGAGATTGTTCAAATTAGAAAATAGACAAAACATCACAAACTGATTTTAGATAAACAACAACCGTTGAAGATTAAACAGCATCTGACAGATACTTTCACAGTATGTGCCTCGTCAGTTAGTAATCGACACTTGCAACCGGTCCGCCAATCGAGCCTGGCACTTCCACGTCTCACAACAAACATGCTACCTTCCGACCACTATCGGGTTCTCATACATTCTTCTTCATTACCGATTTATGTCAATTCGTGACATCATGTGAATATCATTCAGTCACATGATTATACCAATCTTTCACAGTAGTCGTACCTCACTAGTCACATATTCTCACTAGAACTTCGAGATTCTTTCACTAAATGTCCGAAGTCTTGCTACTATCAAGAAAAAAGTCATTTCAGAGTACCTTCTATCAAGATTAACAAAGTTATTAAAAAAAATCTATCATTAAAAACTGTTATTCATTTGAGCGTGTTTCGATCTCTGAGCTGCATCGTATAGCATTAATTGTCCTTCTCAACAACATCGTCGGCACATGCTTCGATAAAGCATCTTTCAAAACAAGAAAGGATGGAATCACAATGAATCTTATCCAGGGTCGGGAGAGTCAACCCTCCCTTCTACTCACTGCCTTCTTACACCAGGCTTGCTGATAATGAAAATGGGAGGGCGGAGCTCGAATGTCGGGCACTTTAACCGGATTGGTGGATATGAGGGATCCACATAGAGAGTTGGAGAACCCTGATTCCGTACCAATCGTGTGCATGATCTCCAGCATCCTGAACGAAGAAAATAACATATGAACCTACCGCTGGTCACTGCCTACCATGGAACTGCATCTCATTACGTCGCTCTACTACCCTGTGGATTAAACCTCGACATCAAAGGCTAATGATGTGGCCCTCTAGGAAAGCCATCTGCTTCAGTTTGGGCGCTCGTACAGTATTCCAGACCTCATGGAAATCGGATAATTTCTGTGGTGCATACATATTTAGTGTCTCATTTTACCAGTGTTTATGTGTTTAAATAAATCAATACCTGGACTGGGAGAAAGGAACGAGAATGGTGACAGATTTTCAAATTTGTGTGCATTCAACAAACTGGTGATAGGTGGCACAATATTCACCAATAAATATATACGCAAAGCTACATGGGCCTCACCAGATCACACTACACAGAACCAGATAGATCAGATTTGCTTTACTAAAAAAATGCAGAATTTCAATAAAAAAGTGAGAACCAAGAGAGGAGCTTACACAGACGGCTAGCAAATAACTGAGATTCAAGAACAGAGAAACAGATTGGTAAAACACTTCGAGAAACTCTTAAATTGACCAGCTCCATAGAATCCATCAGACATCGAAGCAGCACACACAAACCTTCCTATGACTGTCACTACACCAACGACGGAAGAAATAAGGATAGCCATCAGATAAATGAACATTGGGAAAGCATTGGGAGCTGACAATATACTAGATGAAGCACTAAAATCACACATAGAACCAACTGCAAACACGCTCCACATTCTATTCAGGAAGGTTTGGGAGGAAGAACAAGTGCCGATAGACTGGGAAGAAGGACACCTCATCAAAATACTAGAGAAAAAAGATCTGAGCAAGTGTGAGAACTACAGAGGCACCACACTAATATCGGTACCAGGAAAGGTTTTCAACAAAGTGTTGCTGAGCCGGATGGAAGATGCAGTAGACGACCGGATTCCAGATCAACAGGTCGGATTCCGTAAGAATCGGTTGTGCACAGACCAAATAGCGACACTACGGAGCATTGTCGAACAGTCAATTGAATGGAACTCGTCACTATGCACCAACTTCCTTCGTTATGAGAAAGTATTTGACAGTATGGATAGGAGAATATTATAGAAACTTATTCGAGATTGATCACCGCCCAGTGATCAATCAATTGTAATACATCTCAGTCCTACAGGACATCAGTCGCGGCCCGGATAGCTCAGTAGTAACGTCTCTGACTGTGAAGCTGTGTGACATGGGATCGAGTCCGTCAGGACGCATTAGTTCCCCCAAGATTAAAGGTACACCTTGCTGACGAGTGCCAAGTAGCACGAAACTAAGGTCCAGGGTTTCCTGTGACTACCTCCAACCACCATCTTAGCAAACCAGCTCCCAACTGAAGAGGAAATTAACAAAAGACTCTGCAGGTGGATAGGAAATACATTGCAAAATTCATCAAACTGCATCACAAGGCAAGCGCCAACTTGGAATACTGAAAAGAAAAGGAAGATAGGAAGACTAAAGAACACACTGTGCTGGTAATGTGAAGCACACCTCGAGAGAACGAATAGGAATTAGTAACAGCTGGAAAGGATTGCCCAGGACAGAGTTCGAAGAACAATTCTGATAGATGGTCTATGCTCCTTCACAAGCTGTAACTACGTAATGATCATGCATTTATAATAAATATTAAGGAAAATTTACAGTGACTTGGTCAAAGTTATGTCGCGTGGTCTTGAAGATCGGTTGTTTAAAATGCAAATGTAAACAGCTAGATGTGAGCTTCCGCGAGTAACTTAAAAGTCTCATAACTCTAAATAGCATGTTCAGCAAGGCGGATTCTGTGAAGACGGTCCACGGGTGAACTCGAGGAAGATCAGAAAGAGCCGAAGATATTCCATCCAATCAGCTTCTGGAAGAACATTCCAAAATCACTATGTGTAGCTTCCCTACTGGACAATGCTAACAACCCCTGTGTGCCGATCGGATAACTATAAAGATGATTTCGTTTTCACTAAAAATTATAAATACCTGACAGTTTCGTACTATAATCAACACTGTTTGGAATAACATTCCTTTCACTTGTCTTCTGTCTTCTCATTTGCGACTTGAGAGAGTTCTAGCGTTCGAGAGCTCAAGTTATACGCTGCATATCAAGAATATAAGCTCTAGATATAAAATTCAAATCTCAAAGTTAATATAATCCTTCTACTAAAGATCTTTAGAAATCTTTTCATCGATATTGAAATGAGAAAAAACCGCTAATTAAGTATCTGTAGCATGTGCATTCAACTAACCACTTCAAAGCAGGATGAGATGTGTGTCCTGAATTCCACTGATAGCCACAATACAAATATGCTAAATCTCCGTACCTTACTAATTAAATTGATAATCCACAGTTTTCTGACTCAGATGTCAAGTATGTTGTTCAATTGAACTTAACCGTTATCCAGCTGAATTTGACACTCATGATTAACAAATTCCAATCAAAACTGGTAAAAATTCAATACTTATTACCAACAACGGGATAACAGAAACCCTCATAAGTTTGCAAACCATTGTTTTCATGTATATTCTATAAAATGAGTACACACACGCATAACCAACTTACCTTTCGGAATTACACCATTCGCCAAAAGCTCTCGAAACAAACCAATATCTATATCAATAGATGCGATTACTCGGCGATCTAACACAAATCCATCGAAATGATTGGATACTTGGTTTCCATATACATCGCGTTTCGGTATGGCAGATTTCTTATCAGACAAATCATCTATGTGAATTGGACACCTCATATATTCAATAACAAATGCCTTCAACTCCCAATCAAATCCAGATGTTGATAGTAAATTACTGAAGAATGTGAAACTTGGTCTAACGATTTGTGAGTGGATATTTTGTTCACGAGGTATACTGTTAGTCTCCAAATCAATGGAAGATAGTGGGGTTGTAGCAGCAATCTCAAATCCACGTAGAAGTTGTTTAACTGACTCTTTTGTTTGACAACCTCGAGCTACGCAACACCAAGTAATCTACATAACAGAAAGTTACCCATTAAGGAGTTTAGTAAATTTAGTCTATCATAAGCCACTCTATAATAACCAACTAGCTTTCTTTCAACCTACTCTTACGTCAGACAACATTATATTAGACCATGCATTGATTAAAGGCGATACGATGCTAATTATACTAATGCATTTCTGATAAAACACCGGCTTCCATGGGACTGCATCTCCTCACGATGCTCCACTGCCTTGTGGATCAGACCTTCAGGTCGAAGGCTCGGGGAGTGGCCTCCTAAGAAAACTATCTGCTTCGGTTTGGGCACCCGGGCAGTATCACAGCCCTCACACATATCGACTGAGATGTGTGGTGCATATGTATTTGGTGCCTCCTTGTGCCAATATCAATGTGTTAAAATAAAATAAATAAATAAATAAAATTTTGTAAATTCAGTCCATCATAAGCCACTCTATAATAACCAACTAGCTTTCTTTCAACCTACTCTTACGTCAGACAACATTATATTAGACCATGCATTGATTAAAGGCGATACGATGCTAATTATACTAATGCATTTCTGATAAAACACTTGTAAAGCGATGACTCAGTGATTGAAGAACTAACCTTCTACTGATAGGACGCAGGTTCGAAGCCTGTACCACCACCCAATTCCGTTTGGTCACATCGCTGGTATCATGAGTCCTAACACAAACAGTGTGTCTTCACGTGCAACTAAAATGTATCTTCACAAACAAGCTACGAGATTACATTTGCGCCTTCTCGTCAAACTACAACCCACCACAATTTCCTACATTACAAATGATAAGATCAAAATAAAAAGCACAAATATACACAAACAGGAAATAAAACAATGAACGACAAGCAAACCTACTTGGTCAGGAATTAACCCTTTACGAGTCATATCTGCTAATAAATGATTAGCATTCAAACCAGATGATGTTCTACGATGGATAAAAGAATTGTATAATGCAGTATCAGCAGTTAGTTTAAACTTTGAAAGTAAATTTAAAACTTCTGTTTCCCAAGTATCAAAAGAATCGTTTGTGTAACACTGATCAGATTTCACTGGTGGTGGCAATAAACGAACGGTATGCGCAAAAAAATTATTATTCAGTTTCAATTTGAAATGATTTTCAACAGTATCTAGGAGACCATACAATCCACCAACGAGAGCAAGACGTTGCCAAGGATACATACATTGGTCTTTTGGTCCACAAATCTAAAATTCGACAGTAAGAAACAGGAATTTTAAAATATTTATAAAAATTGTTCATTCAGAATTTTACTGAACTTAACTTAAACAATCACGTGACTGAGTGATCAGCATCATCAATCAGCTAACATCAAATGCTTTAAGTAAATGCCTATTAATATAGGTAACTCCGCCTGGAGCATCTCCGGGGGCTACTGCCGGTCCCGAACCCGGATAAAGGAGGAGGGTTGGACATGGGGTTTGCGACTCTATCCCGTAGAAAACTAACTCGCTAAAAAAACGCTAACCAGAAAAAAATGTTTAAACCATTTAAACTCTGCCCTGGGAGTCAGAAGGTCTTCATTTAGAAGAGTTATGCTTGGGATCACTGAAACACGTTGGACGCAAGTTGGACAACAACGACCAGCTTCAGGGGAGCTTCTGTTATACTCCGGCCATGAAGAAGAAAATGCACCACATACATAAGCAGTTGCGTTGATGATGTCCAAACAAGCACAAAATGCACTAATAGGATGGGAAGCTCATGGACCAAGGATCATCAAAGCCTTGTTCAAAACAAAGAAAGAGGGCATTTCAATGAACATCATCCAATGCTATGCGCCCACCAACGACTCTAATGAAGACGCTAAAGATCAATCCTACAATAGGCTGCAGTCAATCGTCGAGAAGTGCCCAACAAAGGACCTGACCATTCTGATGGGAGATCTCAATGCCAAGGTTGGAACGGACAACACTGGATATGAAGACATCATAGGGCAACATGAACTGACTGGGAGAAAGGAACGAAAATGGTGAGAGGTTTGCAAACCTATGTGCCTTCAATAAACTGGTCATAGGCGGCACCATATTCCCACATAAACGCATTAACAAAACCACATAGACTTCACCGGATCACACTACTCAGAACCAAATCGACCATATCTGCATCAACAAAAAGTTCAGGAGGACAATAGAAGATGTGAGAACCAAGAGAGTAGCTGATATAGCATCAGATCACCACTTGCTGGTCGCCAAGATGAAATTGAAACTCAAGAAGCACTGGACAACGGGGCAGACAGTATCACAAAAGTTCAATACGGCCTTTCTTCAGGATACTAACAGACTCAACAAATTCAAGATAGTCCTCAGCAATAAGTTCAGGGCCTTTCATGATCTACTCAATGGAGAAGGAACTACTATGGAGAGCAACTGGAAGGGGATCAAAGAGGCAATCACTTCAACATGTTATGAGGTCCTGGGTCACAAGAAGCACCGTCACAAGGAATGGATCACTGCTGATACATTGGGTAAGATTCAAGAAAGGAGGAACAAGAAGGCAGCAATCAATACCAGTCGAACAAGAGCAGAAAAAGCCAAGGCACCAGCCGAATACACAGAAGTAAACAATCACGTGAGAAGGAGCATCAGAACTGGCAAACGTAAGTATGTGGAAAATTTAGCAGTGACGGCGAAAAAGGCTGCAAGAGAAGAAAACATGAGACAACTGTATGACACGACAAAGAAACTCTCTGGAAATTACCGTAAACCAGAACGACCAGTGAAAAGCAAGGAAGGCGAGGTAATCACCAACATTGAAGAGCAACAAAACAGGTGGGTAGAACACTTCAAAGAACTCTTGAATCGAGCAGCCCCACTGAACCCACCCAACATCGAAGCAGCACCCACGGACCTCCTAATCGATGTTGGCCCACCAACAATCGAAGAAATCAGCATGGCCATCAGATAAATCAAGAGTGGCAAAGCAGCAGGACCAGACAACATTCCAGCGGAGGCACTAAAAGCAGACGTAGCGGCAACTACAAGGATACTCCACATTCTCTCAAATAAGATTTGGGATGAGGAACAAGTATCAACAGACTGGAAAGAAGAACTTCTGATCAAAATACCGAAGAAAGGCGATCTCAGCAAGTGTGATAACTACAGGGGCATCACTCTTCTCTCAATACCAAGAAAAGTTTTCAACAGGGTTTTGTTAAACAGGATGAAGGACTGTGTAGACGCCCAACTTCGTGACCAGCAGGTAGGATTCCGTAAGGATCGATCATGTACAGACTAAATCGCAACTCTACGGATCATTGTGGAACAATCAATTGAATGGAATTCATCACTCTACATCAACTTCATTGACTACGGAAAAGCATTCGATAGCGTGGACAGAACAACACTATGGAAGCTTCTTCGACACTACGGCGTGCCTCAGAAGATAGTCAATATCATACGGAACTCATATGATGGATTAAACTGCAAAATTGTGCATGAAGGACAGTACACAGACTCGTTCGAAGTAAAGACCGGTGTCAGGCAAGGTTGCTTACTCTCACCCTTTCTCTTTCTCCTGGTGATCGACTGGATCATGAAGACGTCAACATCTGAAGGGAAGCACGGGATACAGTGAACATCTAGGATGCATCTGGACGATCTAGACTTCGCAGATGATCTGGCTCTTCTATCGCAATCGCAACAACAAATGCAGGGGACGACCAGTGTAGCATCAGCCTCATCAGCAGTAGGTCTCAATATACACAAAGGGAAAAACAAGATTCTCCGATAAAACACAGCATGCACCAATCCAATCACCGTTGATGGAGAAGATTTGGAAGATGTAAAAACCTTTACATATTTGGGCAGCATCATTGATGAACACGGTGGGTCTGATGCAGATGTGAAGGCGCGGATCTGAAAAGCAAAAGCAACATATCTACAACTGAACAACATCTGGAACTTGAAACAACTGTCTTTCAAACAACACCAATATCGGAATTTTCAATACAAATGTCAAAATAGTTCTACTGTATGGGGCAGAAACCTGGACAACTATGAAAGCCATCATCCAGAAGATACAAGTGTTTATTAACAGTTGTCTACGCAAAATACTTTAGATCCGTTGACCGGACACTATTAGCAACAACCTACCATGGGAGAAAACAAACCAGATCCCAGTGGAGGAAGAAATCAGGAAGAAGCGCTGGAAGTTGATAGGACACACATTGAGGAAATCGCCAAACTGCGTCACAAGGCAAGCCCTCACATGGAATCCTCAAGGCCAAAGGAAAAGAGGAAGACCAAACAACACATTACGCCGGGAAATGGAAATAGACACGAGAAAAATGAACAAGAATTGGATGGAACTAGAAAAGAAGGCCCAGGACAGAGTGGGTTGGAGAATGCTGGTCGGCGGTCTATGCTCCGTTGGGAGTAACAGGCGAAAGTAAGTAAGTATTAACATAGGCATTTAACCTATTCGTAAGGGTTTGTATTATTTCGATGTTGGCATTTAAAACTGAATTTGATCAACATTTATCGGTAAATACAAATTGAAGTAAATGTATAAGAGCAGCTTTTCTGTAACGGGGTTCACAATATTTCGATTGTCGATAACAGTGGAATTCGGGACAAATATCTTGTTCCATTCACGATGTTTCAGTTTGTCATACCAGTACAGCAGTGTGGCGAGTTTAACACTGTAACTTGCCATCGTTCAAATGTAAATAAGTATTATTTTTCGATGTTCACGGACTGTTGGAATGAATCATATTGGTGGACAGAGATCATATGGTCGGGATTCACACCATTGCTGAGACCAGTGATATGGTGAAAAATTGATCACAATCGCGCAGACGAATTCACTTTGTATTTTACTTAACAATTCCAGTTTTCCTTCATATGTACGTTTCCATTCTGTCTTTTCAAACTACATTCACAATATTCAGTCTGTCTCATTGTCGTTATTGCTACAGTGTTTCGGCAACCTTGCTACTCATCTAAATAGTATCATCTCGTCCTGTTGATACGGTATGCTAATCCGGGCAGCATTACTATTGTGACATACTGTATGTTAATTACATCATACTTGAGTGGTGGACTAGTGGTTGAGTCCTGCGACAATCAACCACTAAGTCTCACAAGCAAACACCGCTCTATCTCAGTCACTCAATTAATCAGCTACTACGTACGATCAGGCACATATGTGCATTGGTCCAAGTTGCCACACCTCATTAGCATAACAAAATGAATACCAAATTCATCGAAGTAGTCACTTCAATGGTAGTAATAAATAAAAGAAAGATTGTATATAAGCATATAATACAGGGAGAGAGAATTAGTTCGTACAAAGAAAGGTATAAAGCGATTTTAATCTCATAGTTCAGGGGAAGACAAAGAGTGTATACACCGACGCCATTGTGATCGATTCTGAGCCATTTCACCCACAGTCTCCAACCATTGGTTACGATAGTCACGCGGACCCCAAACAAGTAGTCTGCATCCACCAACATGGCTCAGACTAGACGTTAGTAACTTCAAGCACTGATGTCACGTTTTGGTTTGGCCGTCCCTAACTCTTTCCCATTCATCTCCAATACTGGTGAGCATTACGCGTCGTAGTGATCGGTGTTCAGGCGTACGCAACACGTGACCCAAACATCTCACTCGATGAAGATTTACAACCTCATCAACTGATTTACCATCATTCTCTAATACCCTGAGTCTAACCTCACTATTACTTACCCGGTTTAATTATTGAGTAATATTTAATATGATATATATATATATATATATATATATATATATATATATATACAAATAATTATGTGCTGGAACCTTGTGAGTCTTTTCTTTTGACTGCGTTGACGTGAAGAAACCAGCTACCGTTCCCTACCATCGACGTATCATGTTTCAAAGCCATTAATCTTTGGCATTCGGTAATTACTTCCTGTAGGGTCATGCTCAGATAATGTTCGAGTTTGCTTCAGATTCTCGTTAAGATGTCAGCATCCTTGGGCGAACACAGGCTACAGACAAATGCTAGGCATTTAAACTGGTCTTTTGGCGTGGAAGATAACTAGAACTTTTCACATTATCGTTTCACGACTCGTTCATGTTTCACCCAGTCATCTCATGGTCCTTTCGTTATCTTAAAGCACCGGAAACAGATATTAAATGAAGATGGATATACTGCAAAGATTTGAAAGAGGGTTCTATTTGTTTCACCAAAAATAAAATTCATTGGATTTTTCGGAAGAATAAAGATACTGAAGCGTTCACGTTCCGTCATATCAAGTTTTCTTTAAAAAATTCTGACGTTTGAAGTTTATTTCAGTCTGTAGATATCAATGCGGTTCGAGGATCCAGATGTGGTACAAAAACAAGAAACTAGTGGATGAATCGATTTATTAATTAACTATACATAGAAAATTAATAGCTGCAAATTCTTGTTTTCTCTCTCTCTCTCTCTCTCTCTCTATATATATATATATATATATATATATATATATATATATATATATATATATATATATATATATATATCATTTGAAATCTATCAAGTCAGGATTTCAAATCTGGCACATATGTCTCATGCTCTACAATCATTATGACTGACTGACTATCAATCTGCCTAACCACTTTCGATACAGTCTATTTTCACAAGTATCTCCTTCCTTCACATTTCCAACTTCAACAATCACAAATCACAATAAATATATCCCCCTACTCAACCAATCATATCATTCATCAAAAATAACTTAAACGGATTCTGATATTCTACAATTCAAAGACTTTCTAATCTGTACACAAAAGTTTTATGGAAATTCAACGTACTACTATTGGTTTATCAGTAGGCAAAAGAAGATTTATTGAGCTACGAAGTGCTAACATTGTATCATTCCAATCAAACTGAAGGGATTCCGGCGTTTCGTCAATCATTGATTCACTACTGGTCGACTTTAATTCAACGGTAGACGTGCCGCTTAATAATGAAGATTGTGTAGCTTGTGCAATCATCATTGACGCCAATTCACGTGATGTACAGGAAGGATGTATTAGATTTACAGAACTGGATGAGTCGCCAGAAGAAGGTTTAAATATATCTTGAAATGACTTATAACGAGTATTATTCACAAAAACTATTTCACAATTATTATTTGCATCCAAACAGTCATTTTGCAATCCCATTATTCTGGCTAGTAAAGTGAAATGATGCGGAACAACATCATTATTTGACAATGGAACTAAATCATGCCATAAAGATAAAGCTAGTTGGAATGGGCTAACACGATTGAAAACATCGTTTGAGTTCGCTGATTGTTTCGATAAACCCATACGTCGACGACACGATTCGAGATTTCTCTTCGCAGTCGCTATTTCAATAGCCGAGAGTATAGATGATATCGTGTAAGCACTGGGAACCAACCCCTTATTTTCAGATCCATGTGCTCTTCGATACAACAATTCAGACTTTTCAGTTTCCAACATCATATCCAAGGCACGCAGACAACCATGAATATCACCAGCTGAAATGGAATTCGAACAATGAACAATATAAATAGTTGAATATGCATTCAGCATCAGTTATCATAAAAAATGTTAACATTTGTTATCCGTTCACCACAAAAATTTAAACATTCATGATGATACCATATGCTGACAAACAAAGTGGAATGGCTCAAGAGCACTACTTTTAGATTCGCTGACTTTCCCTCTTTTATATCTTGGTATTTGGGGTTCGGAACGGGCAAACGATACTTGAGGAATTAGGAATGATTGATTCGCTCCAATACGACCGCTTCTATTTCGTAAATTGATAACGGCAACTAACACACAACACTCCAGCACCTGGCCCACAACACAAAGAGAAGATGAATTGTGAGAAAACATGATATCTGAAGTTGAAAATCCAGAACAAAACGAATGCCACAACTCCCTAGATAATACGCTAACGGGAACATGACCTTCAAGCACACAGAAATTCAGTAAACTAAAGCACCGGCAACCAGTCAGTTACAAAGAAGCAAAGGTCATGTGGAAAATTTAGTCAGCAAAATATCACTGGCAGTTACAGTCCCCAGTATTGTTAACAGAACTTCAATAGCCTTGTGGTCGTTTCACCACCTACACCTCAAAGTCCATACATTACATTTAAAAGATTAGTATAAAGAAGACAAGGAAGAAACAAGCACATGTCGAAAATAGCTTACAAAACTAAAATGCAGCTTACGACCATGATAAAGTAACAGATTGGAAGTATCGCTTCAGAACACAGAGAACAACAATGAACTGAGAAATTCCAAACGTCTGGACTATACACACATATTTTACCCAGGTTCCTTTGGAACCAGTTCGTTCGACAACTAGGTTTATCAGAAACAATCATCAGTCACGTCCAGGATGGTTTGATATTGAATGACCAAATCACTCACCCAATGGGGATACATACTCCCCGAGCATCTGCTCTAGTTTCAGTCCCTAGAATAACACCCTCAGAACACACAGTGTAACCACGTCAAGACATGGTCCACAACACTAACTGCAGGATAACACCAGTCAAGTGTTAATCAGTTTAAGCAATCAACACTTTTAGTTCCCAAGACAGAAAGTTAATGGTTCAGTTGTGATCAGTATGTGCCATACTCTAAGTGTAAGAGATGATTATACTACCTGGTTCCCGAGACCGGAGTAGGTGGGAAGGGGCTCAAACATGGAACTTAATGGCAGAAATTCAAACGTTTCAACACACTTCAAATTAAGTTAGTTAACTTCACACTTTATCCAACTTCAATGTTAATATTTCTATATCACATTTAACTCAAACAAAAATAAACTACATACCTTTGGCAAGAGCCAAAATAAGTGTATTGTATGTAAATTGATTCATTGGGATATTTTTTTCCATTAAACGACGCCAGAAAAGATACACTTTATGAAGTGCAGGTCCACCAAAGTTATCTGGTGACATGTCTGGAGCCAACGCTTTCTGAAGAGCCAGCCTATGTAATAAAAATAATAAATAGACACAGTTGTAGGGGAATCGAATAATTCATTTCTTGTCTCATTTCCAGTTAATGTTAATAAAGAAAGCTCAAGGAAGTAAAATCTTATTTGACACCAATATAAAAATAAAAATCTGGACGGCATTGTGACGGTGATAGAAGTTCAAATAATTGACTTTATCACAGTCAAGCTGTGAAATTGTAAACCATGTGTATAAAATAAAAGACACGATATATTGGATATTTTAAACAAAATAAATCAAGAAATATCTCCAAGCACAAAGAGAGAGTTTTACACCATTTCCTCAATATGAATACAACTAATTGTTAGTCATTATCTATAATTTCTCGAAATATTTTCTAGAAACCGCAAAACCAAACAACACTGATATCGAACAAAACATTCAGAAAGACATTAACCCAAAACTCATATATAAAGAGCAACTGTGGTGTTTAGCAGCTATGATTCACATAATCGCTGAAAGTACACTTCACAACAGGTTAATGGGCATAATGTCCGAGTGCAGCTCGACAATGCTTGAAATTTCATACTTACTAGGATGGGAAAAACATCCTAAAATCATTGGGGAATGAAACACTGTCGAAAACCGGTTGCAAAGTTCATGGTAGATCCCAACAAACATCCATATTCATACATCGTTTTCAAATATAGGTGTCAGGAGTCACCATAACCACTAGGAAAATTCTCTAAAGCTAAGAGTCTACGAGTCCCGATAACTACTACGTCGAAACAGTTCACTCGGAATATTAACAATCAACCACACAATAAACACCAAATGTTTCCCAGGAATACTGTTTAAAATATCTTGTTTGTTCTTCATGTTCACAATCTCTATTCTTAAATTTCTTCAACAAGTCTACCGTTCACATTCATCGCAAACGAATGTCGCTTTTCCTTCGTGACTTCATTACTTCACATTTCAGTGTAATTCGTTTTATATTTTCTAAGGTCACTACATACACACGAGTTGCGTAGTAATATCAACTCCTATACAAATAGTAAACTCTCTCTTGTAAAAGACCAATTTCATTCATCTTATTACCTACGTGCGTTATTAACAGATGAAGCATTATAAATAAATAATATATTTGTGATATCCCAATGAGTAGAAAAATTACATTTACTGACGTTTCGTGACTTAGTGTAAACCACTTCTTCAGAGAATTAAAAAAGTGGCTTACACTAAGTCACGATACGTCAGAAAACCTCATTTTTCTACTCATTGAGATATTACAAATATATTATTTATTTATAACAATCTACCCAATGCTCAATTTATTCGAAATTATCAAATCAAACCTTGATAATGATACCTACAGATGAAGCAATGTTGTTGTCACTCATAAATAAGTGTTGCATCCCAGTTTATCATCAGACCAAATCAAACTACAACAAGTTCCCTTTTAACTTTACTTAATTAACTGCCTCATCTCTTGGAACGTGGAGGTTCAGTTCAGTAAAGCACAAATAAGTGAACAGAAAAACTAATATAAGGCAAATCAACGAGTAGTAAATGTACACATAGTTGGATTTGAATCGACAACTGCATCTCTGTGCTAATGCGGTATGGCAACTCGAACTGATGTACGTACGTACGAAGTTCTACGTTGTTACTGACTGACATAGTTGGACTGAGTCGTTATTTCTTCAACGAAAAAGGCATTTATACATCATTATGATTCCCATGCAAAATACAACTTACATTTTACGCTGTAATAACAATGAATGGTTCTCAGTACGATTTACAACAGGTGGCATAAAAGTTCTATTCTTTCGAAACCATGTTGCAATATCCTCAGCGCAAGCGCTAAACAATAAATTCATCATAATTCAATAAATCACATATGTTGATGTGTCAGCAAATAGAAACTAAAACATATAGGATACACTATTTACTAATTTAGTAAAATCTATAGTAAATGAATTTCCTATACTCAGAACATTATTTAGTCACGTAAGTTATAAGTGTAAGAAAATACTATTGTCTGTTAGAGAGGACGATAACCTACCTCAAAAATCACTCACGAAGTACATATTTATGCACTCAGTTTCGAGCCATACTGTTTGTATGAAACCTGGTCACAGTAAACATGTACCCAAAGACAAGTAATTGAGGTGAGTGCTAGAACCTGCTCCAATTACACGGACTATATATAATCAATAGTAAGCATTTCTACAGCCGACCAATGTTCATCAGTAATTTTAAGGATAAATTATCTCATCTGACCAACTCCATGTGGGTTTATCAATTTATCTGTTCGTGTGGAACCAGGTAATATAGGTCGTTCAATGCTTACTTTATCCCAAAGAATTCAAGATTACTCGGCTTGGCTATAAAGAGGAGGAAACGGGTCAACAAGAAGCTCAATAATCGAACACCGTGTGAACACAGGTCACTCAATCAAAGTGGACTCTGCATTTAAAGTCATATATACAAGGTAAGTAGAAGGCTTCTAAAGACAGTTACATTGCATCTTATTAACATTGCCGAAGCAATAGCTGGAAAAAGCAGAATTATGCGGTCCAACAGAAATCGGTACAACCTCTTCTTCTACCATGGTCTTAATGTCTCACAATTTTATTTCTTCTTCATACGTTTTTTCCTTCACCGCCATCTGATTCCCTTTCTATTTTCTCTATACACCTTTTACACCCAGCTGATTTATTTCTGTTTCAATGATCATCCTGACTACATTTTATCTTATCATGCTGAACCTCCTTTTCCCAATTATAACTTCTCTATTTATCTTCATAATGAATATTCAAAGCTTTAACAATAAAACCACAAAACTCTGCTCATAATAATCATCATATGCTCAAGAGTTATTTCCTGGAGTTCTAGTGAGAAGCAGTGACCAGTGGAGTTCAACCAGGTCTGTTGTGAGATAGTAACTCACTGAAGACAATGGTGAATGTGTCGGTCAATTTCGTGGATTGGTTGAAGTTAGACATTAGCACTGTTGGATGCAGGCTCAGTGGTCTAGAGGTTAAGTGTTCGTGCGCGAGACCGATAGATCGTGGGTTCGAATCTCGAGAGACGGCATCGTCGATGCGTACTACTGAGAAATCCCACAATAGGGCGAAATGGCCGTCCAGTGCTTTCAGGTTTTCCATGGTAGTCGAGCTTCAATTGACTCATGAACTCAACTATTAAACTACTAAAATATACACAAAGCCCTTTTCTGATAATATTATCAGTTTCCCTGATAAAAATAACGCTTCAATACTTGTGTTTATTCTACCTCACTGTTACCATATTTAACGAAATTTTATTATCGCCATTATTGTAACTATTATCATCTTGAAAATTAAGTATATATATAAATGCATGCGCAGTTGTACAGCTGTGAAAATGAATTCACCAAAAAGAGAACTCTGCTGAGACAATCTTTCTTACTCAATGTTGAGGTGACACAACTTAAAATAAAACAATGAATAGATGCTAGTAAATCGAAAGATTTCAAGTAGTTACTAGTTTTCTTTTGAAATACAATTATCACATCAACAATCTTACCAAACAAAACAACTAACAGCATTCACATTTACTGGGAATCCTTCAAACTAACCGAAACAGACGTGAGTAAGTTGCCTGGGTTGCATCGATACCCAATTCAGTCATCTTTTTATAAACGCGAAATGCATTCTCACTGTCTCCAACTCTGGCCAAACCATCCAGAACCATATGAGCATGAAATCTCGATGGAAGAACACGATCCTTTTCCAACATTTCAGAGAAAAATACCTACAGGAAACATTTCAATCCTGATATAAAAACGCCCAGAAATATGTGCAAGTGTGAAATAGCAAAGTAAAGCATCCCATGGTTGCAAACTATTATTTAAGGTTCAATAAAAGTTAATTTTATGAGATATCGGGTTTAGCGATTAGTGTTCGATCTTAAACCGTTAAACTGGAGTATTCAAACCCAAATTCGGTTCTCAAAGCCACCTAGAAAATCACAGGCCACCATATGAACAGTGTAGCTCGAGTCCGACTGAACAAGACCCCATTTAGCTAATGAATAACAGTTCAAAGCACTTCCCAACTCACATAAAAAGTCAGTATTATTTATGTTGGTGCAGGAAAATATAACAATTCAAATGGTAGACCAATATAAGAAAACAATAACTACGAAAAATGGAAGAGAATAAATTCTTACAGATAATGCTGAATTTGTATCACCTGCTTTAAAATAACGTTTTATTAATTCACAATAATGTTCAGGAGGATAACGACGATAAACGTTACTTAATCTTAAACAGTCAGCAGGATCTTCTTCAACTTCATCAGTACTCAATAGTTCATCGATAACCGATTCTATTGCTTCCCTTTCTCCAGAAATAACTGACTCTTGAAATGGTTGTTGACATACATTATCTATTTAAAAATAAAAAAAGAAAAAATAATCACTCCAGTAGTCCTGCTACGGAGTAGGAGAGTCCTGACCGTTGCATGTACTGATCACAATCGAAACGAAAAGATTCTGAATGATTTTTATAAAGATTCTAAATATAATCTAATGTTTTCACTAATGAATTATTGTTGTTTCGACTTATCTGAATATGTATTGTTCCTTTTTATTTCTTGATGTCACTTAGGAACAGTCGAGTGAAATATCGTATACAGGGAATACGATACAGTAGGATAAAACAACTCCAAACTTCATTTACTAATTATCCAGCTATTAGGAACTGTTGGTTTCCAGTCCGACTTTCCCAACTCCTCTAAATGCACTCACCTTATCCACAGTTCTGTCAGTCAGTCAGCTACAACGTACGATCAGGCACATATGTGCATTGGTCCAAGTTGCCACACCTCATTAGCATAACAAAATGAATACCAAATTCATCGAAGTAGTCACTTCAATGGTAGTAATAAATAAAAGAAAGATTGTATATAAGCATATAATACAGGGAGAGAGAATTAGTTCGTACAAAGAAAGGTATAAAGCGATTTTAATCTCATAGTTCAGGGGAAGACAAAGAGTGTATACACCGACGCCATTGTGATCGATTCTGAGCCATTTCACCCACAGTCTCCAACCATTGGTTACGATAGTCACGCGGACCCCAAACAAGTAGTCTGCATCCACCAACATGGCTCAGACTAGACGTTAGTAACTTCAAGCACTGATGTCACGTTTTGGTTTGGCCGTCCCTAACTCTTTCCCATTCATCTCCAATACTGGTGAGCATTACGCGTCGTAGTGATCGGTGTTCAGGCGTACGCAACACGTGACCCAAACATCTCACTCGATGAAGATTTACAACCTCATCAACTGATTTACCATCATTCTCTAAGACCCTGAGTCTAACCTCACTATTACTTACCCGGTGATCCCAGCGGATGCGAGCAGTATTTCTAAAATATCTATGATCAAATACTAACAATTTACGAGTATCTTCTACTCTTAATGATCACGTTTCGCAGCCGTCGCTCGGTGCTACCATTTTATCAGCGTCATCACCAAACCATTTAGTATGGTTAATTTGCACAAAAGTGACAGTAGAACAAGTCTACACCTGCTTTATAAAATTAAGCATGAAGAAAGGTTCAAACTCATCACAAAGTAGTCTGACCCTAAATTCTGCACCATCAAACCACATTTTCACTTATGCAACGACTAAACCACTGTCACAACACAAACATCTTCCACCCCACACACCAATATTGGCATCTTTACAGTTTCCCTCTTACAATACAGAAATAACACAGGCAGCATTCTTGCAAAATATCACAAAAACAACGCATATTTAGTCACCCACCCGCACTAAGAGCACCAAAATCCAACTGATCATTTTCCGATATGACGTTCAAATCCTCTTCTGAATCACATCTTTCCAGGCTATTCACGTACAAAGGTTCTTCAGGCTCTTGTGGCTTTATATATTTGTGAATTTTGGCTTTTTGGTTAACCACTTCCACAAGATCACGAGTAGATAAATTGACCTTGCAGTGTGATTGGGAACGTCTCCACAACAAAAGGCTACAAGCAGTGATCGGTTGAATTCTACGATAATAAAGCTTTAACACAGTTAGAACTCTAGATAAAAACATACCGATGATTTCAGTAGATTACAAAGTTTGGAGCAACCGATGATCATTATCGGCACTAAAATCACTAGATACCAAAGTAGAAATCAACAGATACATTGATGCATATTGTGCAGTAGCCAAAACAAAAATAAAACTTAACAACACTTAATTGAACTAACCATTACGAAAACTACGCGGAAATATAACAGCTGAGCTTGTCAACTAATCCTCTATCTCACAGATATTTTGATAACAGAAGTGAAACGGCTAGCATCAAATGAGGTCACTCTCTGATAGATATCCCATCATAGAACAGTTCAGTGAGGGAATCGAACCTATCCTCTATAACGTAAACTATTCACACAAATATGTAGTTGGTGTTTTGATACCGAGTCTATCAATTCAATAAAATGACAAGAAGTGGGTGCATAACTTACACAATCCTGCTCATCACATAATCATTTTCACTCTCTTGTACAGGGTAATGGTCAACAATATACTGGAACTAGCTCACATTTCATACTTCATTCAAAACTTCAATATACAATATTGCAGTATGTAAAACTTAGTCGAACTTCCATGAACAGAACCAGCATGTCTAAGGGCAGTGGTCGAACATTTGGAAAGTAAAAATTCGTCACAGAGGCTCAATTACATCTAGTCCTTATCATCTTCAGCACACACCATCTAAAAATCTTAGACATTTGCTTTTGAACATGCTCCTAAATTCTACCTCTTCAGTTCGATAGATATGATTATTCTATATTCCGTTAGATAATTACCAAGTTTTCTAGATATTCGATTCAGCAATGCATAAGACCTAAAGGGGAAACGTTAAATTCGCTCAACCAAACTAAAACGCATTTAGAATATAGGCATGTACATGAATCCCAAAGTTGATGTTCGCTAGAGTACTGGAATCCAGTGTCGTTCGCTTCAAACACCACCGCATTATACACTTAGTTGGTGAGTCCAGATAGTCACTAGCTTGTACGATTGAGTTCAAGATTCAAACATCTGATACAAAATTAATTAAAATTTACCACATTGCACAAGTCAGTGGCAATCTGGACTAACTAGCTACGTGGATAAAGCGAAGGAGTTTGAAACGGCACTAGCTTTCAATCCCGTAGTGAACATCAACGCTGGGATGCACGTACATCCAGCTGACGAGTCCCGAACAGAACGAAACGCGCGTCCTGGATTCCACTGCTAGCCACCATGGATCTCTGCTTGTAATATACACCTTGAGTGAAAAAAGTTGATCAAAACCCATAAGAATGGCTAAATACTCAAATCATGTAGAAACAAAAGAGACAGGACAAAGAGTGTATTCAGATAGATTAGCGATCAAGGGTTAGCAGCAAGCTAATACATGACTCATTTAAGCCATAGTAATTAATATTAGGCCATATCACAGAAAATCATTTTTCATATGACAAGATTAACTGGCCTAATTAATACGCCCGTGGTTTAGTAGTGGTTAACACTAAGATTTCAACCAACCTGTTGCAAGCTTGACATCTATTTCTGTTCGGACAACCGACCACTCTCATTCCAACATTCACATAAAACTTAAAATTCAGCAAACCTGTACCTCACAACCGAATTACTTTTATACACATGCTTGGACGAATAATTCGTCTCAGTAACATTCTAATCACTCCATACAATTATAAATTCATATTCCAAATCTACAACACCAACTCCGTTAAGTCAACACTTGTATGCATACACCTGAAACTAGATATCGTAAAACAATAAAACCATGGGTCTATTACTGTAGGATCAAACGGGAAATTCACCGTAAACTAATCATTCGCTCTAAATGCTCTTCCTTTTTAAAACACAAGATAGTAAATGCACAGTAAACACACAGTTCAACTGCTCTGTCAGTAGGTCATAAACAACCAAAAAGGATAACTCATAAATCTTCATTGATCCATGTTGTCGTAGCTCGCATCAACACACTTGAAAGAAGAAATTCCCAATATCATAAAAATAATGTCAACAAACATTCTCAAAATAGTCAGCAACAATCATATAAACATGTAGATAAAAACATATCAAAACAAGTACAGTTTACTTTCAAAACAATTGTATCTACAAATACAGATTATTATGCACAACAATTCCAGCAAATAGTTACATTGCTTCCCCATATATCTAAATATATACATATATATATGCATAAATACATTAACAAGGTTTCGCCACAGGACTTTCACGCAGCCAAGATTTATAGATCTTATAAAATCTATAAAATGAACGAACAGCATTTGGATAGACATGAAATCCACCAGTTTTTGATTCGTGAACAGGTGAACCATCTACCATAATAAAGAAAAAATAAGGTAGAAATCACTATTAGTATGGATGCTTTTGGAGATTGTTCAAATTAGAAAATAGACAAAACATCACAAACTGATTTTAGATAAACAACAACCGTTGAAGATTAAACAGCATCTGACAGATACTTTCACAGTATGTGCCTCGTCAGTTAGTAATCGACACTTGCAACCGGTCCGCCAATCGAGCCTGGCACTTCCACGTCTCACAACAAACATGCTACCTTCCGACCACTATCGGGTTCTCATACATTCTTCTTCATTACCGATTTATGTCAATTCGTGACATCATGTGAATATCATTCAATCACATAATTATACCACCCCGAGGCAGCATGGAATGATATCCGAAAAGCTG